ACAGGTGCACGGCGACGAGCCGTCAATTCATATTATCGCCGTTAGCCTCGTCTCAACTATGGGTCGGAAAAAATCAAGATCTCAATCCGTATCCCATTGGATCACAGAATCACCCCCTCCTATCACATTAGAATGACATTTACAGACGTTGTCCTTTGCTAAAATAGGAAGCTACATTGTACCTAAAAACCCATGTTAATAGCCCTTGCACCCAACTTGTGATCATCGAAACCTCACCACTACTGTTATCGGGCGTGTCTACTACCTCGTCCGTCGTGCTCTATGAAGCGTATCTCTATCTCCAGGCGATAATGACTTCTAAAAATATCAAGTTATGATTAGTCAGGCTCGCGTATCATCTAACCATCTGTTCTGACTCCCGTCATATTCACACGACTGGCCATTTCAAATTAAGCGCTATGACGGAACTGCCATGTTACGCGTGCTGCTTCTTTTTCCAAACCAACCAGTCTTTGTCTCGAGTCTGGTTTACGCGCAGTGTTTCAGTTTCAGGCTGCGTGCATTCAATTAAACTATGAATCTATATTCACTCTCGCCACTGGTATCACTTCTGTCTAACGTTACAAGATCCACGGCATAGTTCTGCTTCCCAGATCACAGCCCTCACTTCCAAGAACATTGGACGAATTACCTCGTTTAAGTGCTTAGCCGCAGAGCACACGTGCTACTAGAATTCTCTTTGCTGCTCTTCGCTAGGTTGTGCATTACATTGGCTGGCGGTTATCCAGAGTCCCGCATTATTGTTAGCAGTGCATGAAAATTGCATCTTGCGTTTACGTACTAGCCCTTATTCCCTGTATCGGAACCGAAAGGCCTTGTCGGTCACAGTCTCTAGCCCATAGACTAATGGCCTATCCCTGACATTTCTTAATTTTTCAGTCTGTAGCTTTTTTACTTATCTCAGAAGTTAATTTCTAAATTGGAGCGGATCAGTTTACTTTGGGTTTACAGGCGCAGTCCGGCATTTGTTAGGGATACTTCGACCAAATTCAATCAGCCACTGCAAGGCAATTGCGTAATGTTAACAGACTGCCAACAGGCGGTCAGTAGCATAGCTTACGTTATTATTTACTATACTGATTGGACAAGTACTAGCTGAAAGCCCAGACACATGTTTCGCCAGTATTCTCCCGTTCCATGGCATGCGAGGGGTTCGGCTCATACTTGTGTCCGCAGAATCCCCTGTGTGTGTGCGTGTGTGCACAGACTCTTGAATATACTGATTTACTTCGAGTTTAATATTACTTTCAGAGGAAAGTAAAAAGCTACAATTTCAGAATTAGGGTATCTAGCAGAAAACATACAGCGAATGCTGGGAAACCCACTAGTGGATCGAACCCCTCGCAGCTGTGTCATGCAACGGCAGAAAATCGAGGAAATACGCGTCTCGGCTTTTAGCTGGTACCTGTGCTGCCAGTATGGTCAGTAGGTGCGCAAGTTGTACATTTATCTGCGTGAATCTTCAGCCTTGGCCTAGTAAGAGATTAGCAGTTTTGGTCCTTAAAAGTCCAAGACCTCTTAACGAAGAAGAGGAATTTCGAATATAAGCATCTGATCTAGATTCGTGGTCCAGAATTTAGCTTTTCAGCCTCAAATCTAGGAGATGACGGGTTAGAAATGTGTCTGAACTTACAACATTCTTCACTTACCTTGAAGCTTCAGATTTTTCGAGCAGGTAAAGCGAAGCAGCAGTTCCAGTCCACCTTTGATGAGCTCTAGAAACATTGGAAACGTTTACTTCATACATCACACCTTGACTCCTATATTTCCACGTCTTTTAATGAAAACCTAGTAATTTTTGCAACGGAAGTCGAAACCTGAGGTCAAAAAGTTAGCTATTTTGCCCAAAAGTCTAACGCTACTACCGATGTCTGTTGCTTTTGCGAAAATAGCTGACCGAGGCGCACGTTGTTCTGGCTTGTTTACGGTTACGCCCCGCCTACCTTTTGCAAACATACTTGACAGGTCACATCACATTTCTTTCCCATTGCCACTAAGGAACCCATGTTTTGTACCACGCTAAAGCCGTCTTCTTTTGTATCATCAGGCAATGAAGGAGAGGGAGAAGGAGCGCATTCAATTTTGGCGCGAGGAACTCCCACGTCAGGTATGCTTTCCTCCAATCATTCGACCCCACATGTGTTATTGACATGGACCAGGGACACGTCGCTCCTGTCTGTTTTGTGGGACAGCCGCCCTGTTACGATCTTTTTGTAGTTTATACACAGAGTAATATGAAAAAATTGAGAATTAACTGGCAAGAATATATGCATTGCGGATATATATTACTGTTAAACATGCTGAATTTAAGCAGGGCACATTTTCTTGGGCCTGCCGTTACAAGCACGAACGATGTAACATTAAAATGCCACAAATTTGTTAGGCAGAACTGTCTTTTGTTGGTACAAATGGCTGTAGCAGTAGAAGGCAGTCGTTGAACAAGCGTGTGTTGTTGAACCTCATCGAGGGGAGACCATAGTGCATCTGTTCAGTGATTTATGCTTGATTTCTTTACCTCTATCGCCTACTTAGTTCTCTGCATTGAACTAAAATCAGGAGTATGATTATGCTATGAGTCCGCACAACTCAATTAAAGGTATTGTATACCCTTGTTGAATATTCCTGGCAGCTCTAGATGTCAACGCTTTAATTGCGTGTGAGCAACTGATCGTCATGTACGGTTGCGAAATACCTGTGCAGTGAAAAAAAACTTGAATAATTTCCTGCATGTTTAGCTCTGTCGCTTGCTTAGAGCGAAGCGGGAGGCGTTTCTACGGGATACCAGATGACTAAACCAGCTCTGCAAACCCACGCAAATATTCTTATCCTGCTTATTTTACAGACCAGAGCCCTTGTTGGCTTGTGCCTGCTCTCTTATTCGTTTTGTCTTCTTTATACCTTGGGGTTTGCGTAAGAATTACTTGTATGGTTGCTTAACTGGGACATGAGAACAAGAGCCGTCTACAATGCATGTTGCTTTGCGTCAGCTTCTGTGGAAATTAGGTTTAAGATTAATGTTAGGATTAGGATTAAGTTTATGGTTAGGTTTGCGTTTGGGTTAGAGTCAGGATTATGTTCGGGTTCGTGTTTTCTTTAGGGTTTATGTTTAGGGTTGAGTTAGGGTCAAGGTTACAGTTGAGTTTTATGCTAGGTTTAAAATATGGGAATATTTACCCTTACAAAAATTTCTTGCAAGGCCAGTTATTTTAAGTAGGCGGGGCGTTCCCATTCCCGTACCCTGCTTAGGCGATCACACATCCTTACGGGCGTTTGGGACGCTCATTGACGTGAGATCCGAGGCAGACCCAGATTTCTCTGAGTTTGAGAGTCATCTTGTGTATAGAACGCAAAAACGGTATGTTAAACTTGGATAAGGGAGAAGGCATGTCGAGCACAGAATCAATTGGTTTCTTGTCCCGAGCTTTCGAACTCTTACAGGAGTCCACCTTCGGAAATATGAAGCAGCAACCCAAAGGAGGTAATTATAGTGTGCATACGCCAATTAACTGTCAGGGGTCATCGGGTCGTCAAGAGGTAAGAAACAGCAACCAAAAACGATGTGTTGAACCGTGTCAGTCACTGCCACCATGCCCATCTCGGGTCCTTTTGACTTTGTTTTACCCTTGAAACATGGTGGCGTGGGCAGGGATAGAGCTTGAGGTAGATGCAGCGCGAACCTGCTTTATTGTAAACAATTTAATACGAAAGTCCCCACACCGTGTTCTCGAGACTCTTGTGGTCCTCGTCGCCCCTAGGAGGTAAGGTAAATCATTTTTTATGTACTTGTTGCTGATACTTCCTGGCTAGGGAGGGGGGAGGCGTTAACACT